GAATTGACATTTCTAAAATATTGACTTTTCCTACTCATGAACATTAGATATCTCACTATTTACTGTTTCCCTTTTAGATCCTTCATTCATCTATTCAACAAATATTTATTTCCAAAGCTGCTCAACAGGGGTAAAGAAGTGAGCAAATCCTCATGAAGCTTACATTTTACTGCAAGTATATAGACAATACACAAATAAGCATAATATTTAAATGCTGACAATAATATAAAGAAAAATAAAGAGTAGTGGAGGTATAGAGTGACAAGAAACATGCCATTTTTATAGGGTGGCCAAGGAAACCCTTACTGACAAGCTACATGTATTAATAACTCAAAATCTAAATGAGGTGAAGGACTAAGTCATGGAGCTGAGGCAGAGAAAACTTTAATTGCAAAGGCCTGAGACAGGACCAAGCATGGTTGTTCAGGGAATGGGCAGGAGGCCACTGGCTGGAGAGGAGTCAGCTAGGAAGTGGTTTGTCAGGGGCATGTGGACCTCACAGGACATGGTGAAGACTTTTAAGAGGAAAAGACATTGGAGAGTTTTGAGCAGGGGAATGACATCATCTGAGTTATGTTTTTAAAGGCATGCTCTGGATTCCACACGGAGAATAGACTTTAGGAGGGCAAGGATGTGAGATCAGCAAGGAGGCTGTCGTAATGGTCTAGGCAGGGTCATGGCAGAGTGGACTAAGCTGGTATCAGTGAAGGTGTTCAAAAGCAGGAGGATTCTGAAAATACATGTATGCTTGAATGGGTATTCATGCATACATGTATATACATATACAGTCAATTCTCATTATTCCTGGTAGTTACATTCTACGAAATCACCACAAACACAGAATTAGTGAATATTAGACTATTGCTTCCAGTCAAAATACAGAATTAGGTCCCCATAAACCTCTGGTCACAACATTTTCATCAGCCAATCAATACATAACTTTGTTTTATGTCTGTTTCTGTTTAAAAACACTTTATTTAATATGTATGGATTCATTAACATTGAACATGGCCAACAGCACTAAACCATGCCTGAATGAAGATTATCGAACATACATATTTTCTGCGTAAGGCATATCACAGCCTCCTGCATTTAGGAACACTAGACAGAACACTTTTGTAGAACTCCTCAACACTATATCTGGGGACTATTTTAAACAGTGAAATCACCACCAAAAGACACAAATATCCTGAATTTAAAAAAAAGTGGTCCTAAATTGAGCACAAAAGGATACTAATTGACAGTGTGAGAATTGAAGCAAGAAGGCAGAGCATCACCTTGTTTGACCTTACCTGAGGACCTGAAGGGGTAACTCAAATTTTCCACTGCTCTCTGTATGTCCACAAATGGCCAGGAAAGCACTGTGCGTATGATTTGAAGCTTCAGGTAAATTTAAGCTAGCAGGCAAATTTGCAACTATGGAATCTGTGAATAATGAGGATTGAGTGTATGTGTGTATACATATATTTGTGTGTGTGTGTGTGTATAGATACACATCCTTTGTAGACTTAGTGTTTTGAAGTTAGATAATACAGTCACTTGATTAAAACAATTGGTATCATAAAACATTATACTAGCCAGTGGAAACTCTTGCTCCCACTTTCCATCTGACCATTTTCCCATCTCCTGCAAAAGGTGGTCACTTTTATTATTTTCTTATGTATCTTTTAGAGCTTTTTAATGCAACTAGACAAAAATGAATATATATTCGTATTTACTCTGATTTACATAAAAGGTAGTACACAAAGTTCTGCATTCCTTTTTTTAACATTGTCACTGTAGCTGTTTGATTTTTCCAAATCATCACAAAGAACACTTCAGCTGTACAGTGTTTCATTGTAGGAGTGAACCACAACTTATTTACCCAATTCCCTGTTGAATATATTGCTAGTGCAAAAATGTTGCAATGAACAACTATGCATATATGTCACTCTCATGTGTTCAAGTATAACTGTAGGATGAATTCTGCCATGTAGGATTACTGAGTCAAAAGATATTGAGGACACCTTTATAATCTTGATAGATATTGCCATATTGCCAATCATTGGTTTTTGTGTGAATTCACATTTCCTCTGGTAATGTGTAAGCATGATTATATCTCAAAAGCCTTATCAAAAGAGTATGTTGTCAAGGATTTGCCAATTTGACAAGTGAAAAAAATGATTTTTCCCTGTTGCTTTAATTTGCATATATTCATTGGTGAAGTTGAGTAGCTTTACATATATATTTAATAATATTGATTTATAATTTTTCTGTGAACTGTCTTTATATCCTTTTCCCCAGTTCTCTATTATGTTATTGTTCTTTCTTAACAATTTCTGATAATTATATTAGGTAGATTAACCTTTATAAGCTAGGTCGTAAATTTTTTCTCAGTTTGATATTTGTCTCTTGACTTTACTTATCATGACTTTGGCTATGGAAAAAAATATATTTTTATGTAATTCACATTTATCAATCTATTGGATTGATATTGGATTTGGTGTCATGGTTAGAAAAACCTACTCCACTCAAGGTTTATAGAATAATTCTTCATTTTGTATAATATTATATGCTTTCATTTTTTATATTAAAATCTTTGATCCATTTGAAGTTTATGTTAGTTTATTGCATGAAGAATAATTTTTTTTCTTTCCAGACCAGTATTCGGTTGTCCCAATAACATTTATTAAAATGCTCACTTTTCCCCAATAATTTAAGTTGCTAGCTCTATTATATCTAAAATTCCCATAAATATTGGCACGTATTTCCAAATTTTGTTACGTTCACTTGGTATCTATTTTTATTCAGGCAACATTAGTTCAATGGCTTAGCTCTTGATATTTTAACTTCTAATGAATGGTACTGGCCTCCCTGGGTTCTGCCTGGTATTCTTAGTTTTTCCTGGTATTGTTTGTTATATTTCCATATCAATTTTAGAATCAGATTTATTCAATTTTTAAAAACTATCTATTGGTACTTGTAGTGGCATCACCTTAAATTTATAAATTTACATAGGGAGAATTTCCATCATTATGAAGAGACTGTCTCTCCAAGAGCTGGAGAGACAAGTTGGTCCATTCATTGGTCCATTCTGTTCAAACAGTTCTTCGCAACTTCAGTAGCGCTTTGACATTTTTCCTGTGTTACAGAAATAGCTAACAATAGTTAACAATAGCTCAATAGTGAAGCCATTGAGCTGATGTTGCCTGAATAAAAGTAGATACCAAGTGAATGGTAAATGTTATGGGTAATAGAGACTTTCTGTTTAGTCTGAGATTTCTTGTTGTTGTTGTTGTTATTGTAAATGAGTTCTTTTAACTAATTTTTACTCTCATGTAGGAAAGCTATTCATTTCTATATTTAAATTTTAAAACTTACTGAATTTTCCTACTATTGTACTATATTTTAAGTGCTTCTCTTGGCCATTCCAAGTATACAATTATTTAATCTGCTTTATTTTGTTGTACTTTTTCTAACTTTTCTGAGACAGACATTTAATTCAATTGGGGTCATTTTTTTAACTAATTCATTGTTCAAGGATATTATTTCTTCTGTGGGCACTGTATTAGCAATCTCCTATAGGTTCTCATAGGCACTGTTTTTATTATTGTTATTTGCTAGATATCTTGCCATTCGGATATGTATTTCCTCTTTGACTCAAAAATTAGGAGAGGGTGGGGAAATGTACATATTCTCTTTTCTGGGTATAGAGTTCAATGTGTATCAATCATATCGACCTTATTAAATACATCATTTGTGTCTTCTATCCTTTTGTATTTTGTTCTCTGATCTCCCATAGGCTAAAAGAAGCAAAAATAGAGGCCAGGTGTGGTGGCTCACACCTGTAATCCTAGCACTTTGGGAGGACAAGGCAAAAGGATCGCTTGAGCCCAGAAGTTCAAGACAAGCTTGGGCAACACAGCAAGACTCTGTCTCTACAAAAAATAGAAAAATTTACCATTCATAGTAGTGCACACCTATAATCCCAGCAATTTGGGAAGCTGAAGCAGGAGGATTGCTAGAGTCCAGGAGTTTGAGGCTGCAGTGAGTTATGATCACATCACTGCACTCCAGCCTGGGAGACAGAGCAAGACCCTTTTTTCAGGGAGAAAGAAAAAGTTGTGGAAAGTTCTATAGCAAATAAGATCTCCCTTGAAAATGATTTGATCTTTTTGCCTACTCTGCCTGTTCAATTCTTTCTTTATCTTTAAAGTCCAGTAAATTTGCTGGAATATATCTTAGTGTTAACTGTTTAGAGTAGGTTTCTCACCTACAGGATGAAAATATATGAACTTTTGATATGTACTTCCATTTTATGCGATAATTTCCTAAGTTTATTTTGAATTTATCTTTAAGTATTTTTTCTATTATTTTGATTTTCTTCTTCAGGAACTTCACTGATTTGTTCACTGCCTTCCATTGATTATTTTCTCCCTAATTTTTTCTGATTGTTCTTAAAATTCCTTGTTTCCTTTTCTTATTTGTATAATCTATGTCCTTTCCTTTAATTTCCAAAATGTCTAATCTCCTTTATTCTCCTCCTAAATTTGTTTTTATTTCTCTTATGGAGTTTTTGTTTTCCCTTCTACTTCTTTCTTAACTACTAGCTGTCATAAACATGAGTTACAGCTTTAGCTTTTCAAGGCCTGCCTCTGAATTCCAAAAGGTTTACTTAAATGGTGATTTATGATATCTACTGTTGCTCAACCCTCTTGACACTATCAAGACACTATCTGCTGTCAGCTTCTGCCTGATTTCAGCTGCTTTTTGAATTTTCTGTATTGTGAATCATAGGACCTCATGTGGATATGTAAAACCATAGTGTAAATGGCTGGAACTGTGTAAATATTGTTTTGTGGTTATTGTTGTTTTCTGTGTGATGTTGGTAACTGGGGATTTAGTCCCACAAAAGTGGGAGGAAGCCTCAAAAATAAAATACTTGACAACTACTGATAAATAAAGCTTATAAATCTTCATTTATAGTTCTAAAGGATTATGTTCTTTCTTTTCTGTTCAAGGGGGAAAGAGAAGACATATAGCTAATGTAAAAAGTCTCCAGAGAAGTAAGAAAAAATGTGAGTATTCATTCCTTTGAGCTTGCTGTGGTCCAGACATTCCTGCCAGACGCCATGCTTGCTGTAGCCTGAACATCTCCTGTATCTCCTGAACACTCATGTATTGATGGGTGCTTGAGTTGTTTCCACATCTTTTTGATTGTGAATTGTGCTGCTACAAACATACAAGTGAAGATGTCTTTATTATAGAATGTCTTTTTTTCCTTTGGGTAGATGCCCAGTAATGTGATTGCTGGATCAAATGGTACTTCTACTTATAGTTCTTTGATATATCTCCATATTACTTTCCATAGAGGTTGTACTAGTTTGCAGTCCCACCAGCAGTGTAAGAGTGTTTTTTTCCCTCCTAATCCACGCCAACCTTTGTTGTTTTGTGACTTTTTGAGAAAAGCCATTCTCACTGGAGTTAAGTGATAAATCATTGTGGTTTTGATTCGCATTTCCCTGATGATAGCAATGTTTAACATTTTTTCATGTTTCTTGGTCATTATTCCATCTTATTTTGAAAAGTTTCTGTTCATTTCCTTGACCCACTTTTTGATAGCATTGTTGGATTTTTTCTTGCTGATTTTCCTGAGTTCTATATAGATTCTAGTTATTAGTCCTTTATCATATGTATAGCATGTAAATATTTTCTCCCATTCTTTAGGTTGTCTATTCACTCTAGTGATAGTTTCTTTGGCTGTTCACACGCTTTTGAATTTGATCAAGTCCCATTTATTTATTTTTGTTGATGATGTGATTGTTTTGGGGATATCCTTCATAAACTCCTTGCCTAGGCAGATGTCTATAAGAGTTTTTCCAACATTTTATTCTATAATTCTTATGATTTCATGTCTTAGGTTTTAGTCTGTTATCCATTGTGAGTTGATTTTTGTGAGAGCTGAGAGGCCCTGATCCTGTTTCAGTCTTCTACATGTGGCTATCCAATTTTCACAGCACCATTTATTCAATAGAGATTCTTTTCCACAGTGTATACTTTTGTCTGCTTTGTCAAACATCAGATGGCTATATGAGGCTACATGAAGTTTTATATCTGGGTTATCAGGCCTGTTCCATTGGTCTATGTCTCTGTTCTTGTGCCAGTACCATGTTTACTATAGCCTTGTAGTATAGCCTGAAGTTTGATAAATTGATGCCTCCCAATTTGTTCTTTTTGCTTAAGGTTGCTTTAACTATACGGGGTCTCCTTTGGTTACCTACAAAGCATAGAATTATTTTTTTGTAGATCTGCAAAAAATGATGTAAGTATTTTCATGGAGATTGCATTGAATCTGTAGATCAGGTTGGGTAGTATAGATATTTTAACAATGTTGATTCTGCCATATCTTGAGCATAGTATGGTTTTCTATCTGTTTACATTCTCTGCTATTTCCTTCCTCGGTGTTTCATAGTTCTCCCCGTAGAGGTCTTTTACCTCCTTAGTTAAATATATTCCTAGGTATTTTATTTTCTTTGTTGCTATTGTGAAAGGTATTAAGTTTTTTACTTGGTTCTCAGTTTGACTGTTGTTGTATATGAATGCTATTGATTTGCATACATTGATTTTGTAACCCGAGACTTTCCTGAATTTAATATCAATTCCAGTAGTCTCTTGGTAGAATCTTTGGTGTTTTCCAGATATAAGATCATATCATCAGCAAGCAGCAATAGTTCGTCCTCCTATGCACCATTTGGATGCCCTTGATTTCCTTCTTTTGTCTGATTGCTCTGGCTAGGATGTACAGCACTATGTTGAATAGAAGTGGTGAAAGAGGGCAACCTTGTCTTGTTCCAGTTCTAAGTGGAATGCTTTCAGTTTTTCCCTCTTCAGTATGATGTTGGCTGTGGGTTTGTCATATATGACTTTTATTATTTTTAGGTAAGTCCCATCTATGCCTATTTTGTTAAGCATTCTTTTCATAAAAGGATGCTGAATTTTGTGGAATGCTTTCTCTGCATCTGTTGAGAGGATCATATGGTCTTTGTTTTTACTTCTGTTAATTTGGTGAATTACATTTATAGTTTTGTGTATGTTGAACTATTCCTGCATCACTGGAATGAAGCACACCTGGTCGTGATGTGATTATATTTTTGATTAGCAGCTTAATTCAATTTGCTAGGATTTTATTGATAATTTTTGCATCTATATTCATAAGGGATATTGGCCTGTAATTTTGTCTTCTTTTGTTGTTATTGAGTCTTTTCCTGGTTTTGGTATCAGGTTGATGTTGGCTTTGTGAAATGTGTTATGGAGGATTCATTACTTCTCAATGTTGTGGAATAATTTCTGGAGGATAGGCACCAGTTCTTCTTTGTAGGCCTGGTAAAATTCGGATATGACACCATTGGGTCCAGGACTTTTCTTTTTAGTAAAGTTTTTTACTGCTGCTTCAATTTTAGTGCTTGTTCAGGTATGTTCAGGTTTTCTATTTCTTACTGACTGAGCTTAGGAAGGCTGTGTGTTTCTAAAAATTTGTCTTTTTCCTCCACATTTTCAAGTTTATGTGCATAGAAATATTTATAGTATTCAGAGATGATATTTTGCATTTCTGTGGTATCAGTTATAATTTCTCTTTCATTTCTGACTGGGTTTATTAGAGTCATTTCTTTTCTGCTTCTAGTTAATCTAGTGAGAAACATATCAATTTTGATTATATTTTCAAAGAACCAGCTTTTTGTTTCATTAATCTTTTATATAGACCCTAATTTCTTTATGTAGTTGTACTTATTTTTGAGAAATATATCAGATTGAGAGTATTTCCAAAATCTGTCATGGAAAGAAAAAAGATACCACCACAAACAAATAATTTGTGATGAATCTGCAACCAGGTCCTAGGGTTCAAGGACTCCTTACAGTACAGCCTCTGCTGAACAGATAACTCTGTAGTTGTCTATATTAAAAATCCTGTGTAACTCACAAGTGATGTAGCCAGCTATCTGCTTGCCTATCACATGTGGTCATTTTGTGGACATAAGTCTACCACTTGACCTCTTCTGCCTTAGTTTACTCATCTGTAAGGTGAAATTAAGTGAGTTAGACTGACTGCCCTTCAAGGCCCATCCCAACTTCCTACCTGGCTTCACATTCTGTGAATCCACCACCTGATTCCCTAAGGACCATGGACAGCTTCCCCCACCCCACCCGACCCATCATCATACACATGAAGTGGGTTTAAGGGATTCCCTTATATCACTGGCTAGAAGGGTAGGAAAAGCAGCTCACCATTCTCAAGTTCGTTTTAAGACCTTAATACCTGTTTCTACTGAGTTAGATCCTTAGTCCCCACCACCACCTCCGGCAGGTAAAGGTTCTAAAATGCAAAGCCTGTGCTAGAATCATTTGCAGAAGATTCTATATCACCACTGGGCTTCACTTTCAGCCAGGAGAAAGCTTCTGTGGAGGAGGGTGAAGAAAAAAGAGAAGACAGACATCATCTCCTGCCCAGATGCCCTATTGTGATCCTATTCTCCATTCAGCCAATCTCTGCCTCAAATTTATAGACAAGTGTGTCACCTAAAACTCTTCCTCAGGCCACATAACTATACATATATTTGGCTATAAATTCCCCGTGAGTATAGCAGAAGCCATGTATTCTACTGCCTCTCCAGAGTTGATGGTGGCCAACTTCCTTGGGAATCAGATATTGGATGGTGCTTCTAGAAGGTCTATATCCCTGCTGCAGTGACCCAGTCCAGCTCCCATCCACAGGGTCCCCACCAGGCCATGAAAATCATGCTTCTTCATTGACTTCTTTGCCGGCTCCCAGCTCAGCCCTCTGTCACCACTGACTCCTATAGCCATGACTTCAGCTTGGCAGCTCTCAGGGGTGAGTCTGGTAGTCTCTCCCTCCCTGACAGCCCCAGAGACAGAGGTCCACCTCCTGCATGGATGTCTTAAATCCTTCTCACTTGGCTTGAGGGGAGGTGTCTGAGAATTCTCTCCAAAGAAATGTAGATTCTCTCATAAGGTCTGGTGGGGGGAATGCTGACTCTGGCAGAACCAGGCTTCCTATCCCCTACCATGTTCTATGCAGCAGTGATGGACTAGTAAGTTGCCTTAGAATATATGAGTAATGTGATCCTATTGCATTATCCTTGGACATTGAGGCCTCTGCTCATACCCCAAGATAACTGAAGAGTCACCTAAACATCCTGATATACTCCTTTGCACAGAATTATTAGTCTCAACTATTAACAACATTTTTTAAAAAATAAATTTTTATTTTACTTCTGACCATATTATTATTTTAAAAGATTAGCATAGAGTTTTAGTGGTTATTAGGTAGTTATTAAAACTGGTAGACCCAAGAATGGTTAAATTCTATTTTGTTCTTATCTTTACAATAGGAACATTTGAATTATTCTCCTCTAGGTATGTTGGAATGTACAATTAATTAATATTAACTGTACACCCCCTAGTGATCTATCAAATACCAGGTCTTATTTCTTCTATCTAACTGTAGATTTGTCCCCATTAATCGACCTCTGCTAATCCCTGCTCTTGCAGTGAGCAGTGTCTTCTAGAACTCCCCTGCCCTGAGCTTCCCTTTCAGCCACAGGGAAAGCTCAGGGGAGGGACAGTGAAGCAAAGCAGACGGCCAAGGGGGAGACAGACGCCAGCCTGTTCGGTGCCCCCATTCGCTGTCCTGCTGCCATCCTGCTTTCTGTTCCCCCAGGCGATGCCTCAAATAGGGAGACAAGACTAAAATTTGACAGGCTTTTCTCCATCTCCATAACTTCAAAGCAATAATAGGGCTGGAAATGTCCCTTACCACCAGGGGGAAAGTCACTGTGGGAGCAGTGGATGTGGCCACCAAGCTTGAGAGCTCAGATCCTGCTGCCCCAGGCTGTTGGGTAGGATTTTGGGGGTTGGAGCAGAGGATGACATTATCTACAGGTATCTAATCTGCCAGAAAAGAAAGACATTGAAGTGTAACTAATTTGGGGGGAAAATCCCTGCAATCATTTTAAATTATAAAGGAAGGATCTGAAGAGTGTGGGAGAGATGCTTCCCAGTTATAGAGGAACATGGAATGAAAAAATTGCTTCCTTGCAGATCAAAGAATTCCCAAAGATAAAAGTATGAATTTTCAACTTCCTAAACTTCCTGTGACCTGTGGTAAGGCAAAGGGGACTCTAAATAAGAAGAAATTAAAGAGAGGTAAGTTTCCTGGTCTTCTAGGATTTTCAACTGGAAAATACCCATGCAAATAGCGCACTGTTGTGGAATAGATATCTGCTTTGGGGGGCCCCAAGACCAGCCCCAGGTCTGATTTACTAGGACCTCTCCTAGGACTTGGTACAAAGTCACACTCCCAGTTCGGGTTTTTAAGACTGAAAGAATGCAAAGCAAAGTCAGCAAAGGGAAAAGGCAGGTGGGCTGAAGTCCAGAGGAAACCAAGGGCCAGCTTCCCAGAGTCCTCTCTGGGTGGAGTCACACAGGACTCACTGCTTGAAGGTCAGAGAAATAGGGACCTCAGCTTGTCTTGGTTTTACAGGAACTCAGCTTGTCTTGGTTTTACAGGAACGTCCAAGAGGTGTATAAAGAGTGAGGCTGGAAGATGGTTGACTCTCAGGGAATTTGAAATTCTTGGAGGCTACAGACTATCAAAGAACTGGAAGCTAAGCGTACGCTGTGGTGGATATACCCTGAAAGAGCTGATAGAGGTATTCTACTGGCAAACAGTTTGAATCAAGGATTTGGCTGTCATGCCAGGCTTTGCAGAATTTCTCAGTGTCCAGAAAACTATCATGACTCCCCTTACCCAAAGCCCAATGCATATACTGTTCCTATTAATAACATTGCTCCAGGTGTGACCGTGGCTGGCTTATACTACAGCTTACTCCTCTAAGCACAGTAACTCTTCTCCTTTTCAAGGACAGTAGATTGTAGCCTTGACTCTGCCATGAATAAACTGTGCAGTTTGGTCACATGAAAGTAACTTAAATTGGAAGCAAAGGGGCCTCAATCCTTGGAGGCCAATGTTAAAAATAACATAGTAGAATTATATTTCTGAAAAGAATACATCAAGATGGGTAGTTCCTACATTACACAATATTTCTTTTCATAAGCCACCTCAAATTTGTTCTTGGAAGAGAATACAAATAAATTGCATTTTAAACTAACTGTTTTGCTCCTCATATGAATCCCTTGATGTGGACAAAGCAGGGACAGGCACTCTGCTGCAGGTGAACCTGTGTCTTTTGACTCTGGATACAATAATTTCTCAGTTGCTCACCTCAGACAGCCCTTCCCTGGGCCACTCTAACCACAAAGAAAAGGTCTGTGTTAAGCAAATGTTTGCTGAAACACATCTAGAGCCATGAGGGAGCACAGGTGCGAGCCCTACCTGGGCAGGGGCTGTGCCTTAGGAGCCACAGGCCTGCACAGTGCGAGTGCTCTGAAGAGAGACACCTGTAGGAAGAGATGCGGCAGGAAGGAAGGTCATTTCTGGCTTTGAGGTTGATGACAGTTTCCTGGAACACTTTGCGATGAGCTGGGTGTAAAGAGCAGAACAGTTCTTACAAGTGAAAATGTAGAACAGGGCATTCTACATTCATAAGAAAGGATGGCATGAAAATCTGCTCCTCAAAGTGTCAATAAGTTGTGGATAATGAGGCGTGATACATTCACTGGACTGACTGTGGACATCATCAAGCCAGAGGAAGTAGTCTGAACATTTCCTTTATCCTTTAGTTTCACGGAAAACAGTCTCCATAAAGATACATTGAATTTGAGTTGGCAGTGGGACATCGAGGTAGAAATATCTGGAAGACAGTCAGAAATATCAAGCCCACAAAATAAAAACAAGGGCCAATTATATCTTTAATCTCTTTTCTCTTTCAGAATGGACATATACAAAACCCACCAAGAACAAGAACAGTAATTATCAAGTGACTTGCTTCTGATGTCTCATTGGTCATACTGTTGATTTTCCATTGCTGTAGCCTTACATTCTTTAAATTGACCAATCATGATAAAATTTGACTGTAAAATATGGTGCCTTTGCAGTTGCTGCTTTCAAATATTATATGATGTACAAGGCTGGCATGTCTTTGAGCATCAAAACATTTGAGATAGAGGTGGGAACAATCCTGAAAATTAGATAAGATAGAGCTGACTCATGAGTGTGATTTATTAACAGATATGAATCCCATACTTTCTTGAAATTAAATGTAAAAGACAGGGCTGGAGTTGGAAAACCAAGAGTGATTTTGAAATGCACAAAACAGTACATTTAACAATTATTACCTTTACGATCTCAACTTAAACACTGATTGTTTTTCATTGGTTTTTATAGTTTCTGTCTTTAATGAAATAAGAATGAAACAAAAGTTTCCCTAGAAACATTGCATGGTCACTACGCATGTGTAGCCATATTCACCCAGGGAGGCAAACAACAAAAAACACCTTCTCTTTCTTCCTTTCGTCTTTTTCCTCCACTACACACACACACACACACACACGCACGCACACGCACACAGGTTTTCCTTCAGGCCACCCTTGAGAGCAGAGTGAGTGGGAGGCAGAAGTGTCCTGCAAAGCTGCTGACCAGGAGAATGGTTTCCTGTGTGCGGAGGCTCTCTGCCCCACCAGAGACGCCGTGCAGACCTCACTGCCATCCAGGAAGCGAATCCTCCCTCCATGGAAGTGGCATGTGGAGTTCACAGACCACCGGTCTCCTGCTGGGTGGATTCCAGGGCAGGTGGTGAGAGCCTGTGTGCTCTCCACGGCCTCTCCAAGGCTGAGCATGAGGGGAACCTGGGGAAGGAAGGAGGTGGACGAACTTCCACTTTCCTAACCTCTGACACCAGTGACCTTGCATAACTCTGCCACACCAGGACATCGTGGTTTTCACAGAGCTGGCTTCTGGGGCTATTGGCTACCCTGGCTTGATGACTAGAGACTCAGTGACTAGGTCCCGCATCCACTGGGATTTCTGGAGAAGGACACATTATTTGATCTATTTCTTAAGGCCTAATATTTCTGTCCAGATAATGAAGGCAGACTCAGTCTGGGCCAATCAATTCAGTTGGCCTCCCACAACCCTTCATTGCAGGCTCCCCCCCTCTATTCCCTGTGGCTCCAGGCACAGGGGTGACTGCCTCAGTTCTCAGAGGGTCTCTCCAAAGGGTCTCCTTCCCCAAACCATTGTCTTCTGATGCTCCCGTCACTCACAGCACCACAGGGCAGGTGCTGCTGTTGGCAGCTCCCCTGCCCCTAAGTTTCTTGTTAAACCTGCTGCTGGCAGCTGACAGGCTCTGGATAGTAAGATATAAAAGTCCAAGCTGAGTATTTATTGTCTGCTAAGAAACCTCTTCTCCTGAGTGACAACTGTGCTCATTTGTGCCTCCAGGCACAGACCCACAGTCCACAAACTCCTCCCCCGGCTCTTTCTTTAACTCCTGGGGAGCTAATGGCAACAATGCAGGATTCACTGACAGCTCAGACCTTATTCCATCATATTAAAATCTCAATAAATCACTCTTTGATGAGTCCATTTAAATAATGCAATGTAGACAAGTAGAAAAGACACTATATTCCTGGACCAGGATTTGCCAGCCAAGTAATAAATTTCTCAGATCGTCTTCAATTCATCCTTTTTTTTTTTTGTTGCTAGCCATTCTTTGTCAATGTCTCTGTTTTCATAAAGTAAACTTTTCTGGTCTGACACACAGTCACTATCTCCTGAACTTCACTGCAGACCAGAATGCTTTCCTCTTAAATCCCTACTCATTGTTGTTCCTTAATGTGTTGAGGAGAGAAATTTTTAAGTGTCACCTTGGTAGATGCAAAGGCCACATGTTCCAGCATCCCAGGGTCTCACTGATCCCAGTGCTGTCTACATCATCTCCCCTTCTAGCCAGAAAACTCGAATATTTGTGTGGTGTGCAAAACATGGGGAACGTTGCTCTGCTGTGACACCTGTCCAAGATCCTTTCATGAGAACTGCCACATCCCACCTGTGGAGCCTGAGAGGTAAGACACACACCCAGCCCCCAGCCCTTCCTTCAAGGTATAATAGCAAGAGGTGTCACCCCCACCTCCCGTTCGTGGTTCCCAGCCCTGCACTCTGATGGGGTGAGGCCAGCATACACTGGGTGCTGGTTTAAAGCACATGCCCTGCTGTGGGAACACCACAAAGTTGATACAGCTGGTGATAAAATCAGCCTTCAGCAGACCAACCCAGTGGTCTATCGAGGCAACTGACTCTGGTCCACAGCGCACATGAGACGAATGTGAATGTGAAGTCCGGGGTGGGAGTGCCCGCTGCACGTCCTGTGCTGTTAAATGTGTGTTTGGGTGGAGGTGATGATGTGCAGGATGCCATGGAGCTTGGAAAGGTGTGTGGGTGGTGTTGTGGGCAGAACTGCTGTGGTCAGGAGGATGATCTCCACCGGGAAAGTGTCTGTCCCTCTGAGAACAGAGCATTGCCCTCCCATCATGGAGGAGGCTAATGTGATCCACCTGCTCCCAGGGTGTTATCTCACAGGATCCGGGTAAACCCCTGCTTTTGGCCAGCTGGGCAGTCTGCAGAGGCAGAACACAGATCAGCTTTTTAGTTGAATGCATGCATAGCCCCCATGTCTGTACCATGAGCACTCTGCAAGGGCTCCTTGAGCTAGCACCAGGTGGCCAAGGCGACGCTGACATCACTAGGATAGGCGTTGTGTTCACCTGATTATCAAGAGCCTCCCAGCACAGAGAACCTGGTAGCGAACACTGGAAATGAATCTAGGGGCAAATGGAAGACATATTATGCCCTGTCAGTGGATTTCCTTTTCAAGGTTTTGCGGCACAGAATCTAGGTATAGATATGGCAGAGCCAGAGGAGATGATGCCTATAGCTTGTGCTCTGTGCTTAATCAGCAGAGTTGAGAGACAGGAGCTGGTCTCCCGATTTTTACTGTGGTCTGATTAACTCATGGAGGCCCAAGATTCTGGTGCTTCAGATGTCAATTTCCAAAACTTGATTCTGGCAAGCGGGGCTCATTGTTAATTAAGCTCACAGTGGCTCAGATGGGGCCCCCAAGTTTTGAGTTGAATGAGAGTCCATCACTCACTGGGGCACATTGCTCAACAGACTGTCACCCCTGCCACCACTACTGAGGGAAGGTCGTGCCTTTGGCTATTGAACTGAAATGGGGCTTTAGTAGAGAGGACTCCAGGAGAAAAGCTGGATACAAGGTGGAAAACACCAGTCATTTTTTAACAGAGGACTTTAGTAACCATAGGAACAGTGGCTGATTCACAGAACCTGCTCATGATCATTTATGCCCAATGTCTCAGGAACGGATGGAGTTGCATCTTCTGCAAGATAAAGGTTATCCAGGGAAGGTGCCCAGAAAGCCAACCACGTCGTCAGGAATCTGAGGTTCTGAGGATGCAGATGCTGCCTGAGGAACAGTTGGTGAGTTGAAATATGAACCTGAAGCCTCCTCACTTCTGATCCCCTGAGAGAGGCACAGTCTCACAGAGGACTTGAGGAATGGAGCCCAGAGGCAAACTGCTGGCCCATGGTGTGCTTTGATCCATGACCTAACACTCAAATTTGTATTCCAAAGAAAATTGCCAATCCAAAGAAAATCCTTACTCCATGTTTGTTTCAAAGAGTCCCCAGGTTTGGAGTCCCATGTTCTCTCTGGGCATGCGTGTGAGCTCTTTCTCCCCAAGGTGCATTTCACTCAAAATCTCCTCCATCTTTTACAGAAATGTGAGTTTCTCCTCTTGAAGGTGTATTGTTATTCAAAAACCCTGTTTATTGCCTCAAAACCATATTATGTAAGTAACGGGGAAAAAAAACCTTAAAACTAGCCTTTGTGAAATCTGTGATCTGTGATCTGAAATCTGTGATCTGAATGCCATGGTCCAACTGGCCATTATGTTTGCCCTGTTGATGGGTTTTTAGGTTGGGCGGCCACAACAAATTCCCATAGACTAGGTGGCTTGAAGAGCAGAAATTTGTTTCTCACAGTTCTGGGGGCTGGACATCTAAGACACCAGGGTGTCACCATGGGCAGGCCCTGGAGAGGGCCGTTGTCCATGCTGCAGGGGCTGCCTGCTCGCTGTGTTCTCACGTGGCTGACAGTTAGGGAGAGAGCTCTCTGGAGTCTCTTTTATAAGGGCCCTACTCCTATTCATCAGGGCTCCACCCTCAGAACCTAATCACCTCCCCAAATCCCAACCTCCTAATACATTACATCACACTGGGAGTTGGGATTTCACCATAAGAGCAGGGGCACCAACCTTCTGTCCCTAGTAAGGGGAGTCTGCAGAAGGCAGACTTGAAACCAAGCTGACAGCCTTATTGGGCCCTTTTCTCAACAGAGTAGAGTGGGGTCTCAGGGCCCACAGAGACCCAAGTGGTTAGACAACGTCAAGAAAAGTCTGAATAAGAAGAAGTACCCTCAAGTGAAGGGGTTTGTGGGGGACATGCGCCTCGTTTTTCAGAATGACAAGTTATTGTACAGGGTAAGTGGCTTTTCCTACTTCCCATAATCTTTCAGTTAAGTCACAATAAAGTCACTTCACCTTTCATCTTCTTGTATCAGGCAAACGTTACAATCGCCCTCCTCACATGGCCAGCCCACACGAGCACAAATACTGGAAGTGCTCTAAAAGCCTTGTGGTGCACGTGAGAAAAATGACAACAAGCCAGAAGGTGTTGTGAGGCTCAAATAACAACATTCAGAAAATGTGATTAAGCACAGAGTTTATTGAAGTCCAAAGCTGGGAACAGCCATCCCGTAAACACGGGCTCCAAAGAAACTTGAGTCAGAGCTCCAAAGTTAAAAGTTAAGGTCTTTCCCGTATAGGAAGAAAACAAAGAAATTTAGTAGGATTATAATATTTTCTACACACGGCTGGTTTACAATTTGATTAGCTACAACTAGTTTTCTTTTCCATACCATTTGTTTTCATTTCCTTTCCATTCTAAAACATATTTAACATTCCATCTTAGGCAATATGACAGTCATGGAAAGCTTTTGTGTGAGAAAAATATGAGGGAAGCAAACCTATAATGAAGATCAATAGTGAATAGGGAAGGAATCTTCTCTGGTTCCCTTTGGCCATTTGCAACATTTTATAAAACAATGTAGGTAAGAAGGCCAATCTGTGACCAAGAAACAAAGGTTACAGCTGCCAGGGTGTATGACTCAGGTCCTATAATCACATTCCCTTAAGGCTCAAAATATTTTAAAGTTCCAACAGCTTAGATGTTGAATTACTTATTTTCACAGTGTCATTGCAAACATGGCCCTAGGACTTCAGAGTTTACTCACTCCTAGATATTCACTTTTTGCCCACACAGAGCAGTAGGCTGCAGACTTACTCATTTCCATGAAAAATAGAAGTGCATTATAAACTAATATTTCTCTTCTCTGATGGAAGATACCAAATGAAATTTCTCAGATTTCAAAATGTTGGATTTCTTTACATCTGAATTTCCATGTGCTCTATCAAAAAGTTGAGAAAGATTTTCTCAAAGGGTGAGACTAGAGGAAAAAGGAAGGGACCATTAATTTGCCCTAGACATTTCTGTACTGTCATATTGTTACCAAAAAAAAGTGCTATATTTAAAAATTACATAACTAGAATTTTTTCATAACTAGAATTTTTTAAAATTAAATCAATAAGTTTCTGATTAGGAATTATATTGCAATATGGTATTATTTTTGCTTCTCTATCTTCCCAATAAAGAGAAATAATCAAATTTTCAGAGAATGTAAGTTCCTCTTAACTGGATTAATTCCCACTTAACATTTGGGATAGCCTAAAAAATGAAGCCCCAGATTATGTGAAATATTGGGAGTCTAAGCTCATTGAACAATGACTATAATTGTTTGTGTCTTTGCTTTTTCAGAAAAATAAATCCACCAGACTGATACTAAAAGTACAGAAAAACTTTGAGAAGAATTTCAAAAACATTTTTGCAATTCAGGAAACCAGCAAGAACAATTCTCCACTTTAGCCCATTATGATGTTACCTTAGCCCATTCTTGTTTCCTCCCTGCAGACCCTGCAGCAGGGAGGTGCACAGTGGGGGGGGGGTCCCCTCACCTCTGCACAATCCTATGCAAACAGCATATCCTCTGCTTTTCCAAACTTACTTCATTGCCATTCCTGCTCATTTATTTCCCTAAATAAAAATTACAATTATGTTATCAAATTCTCTTATTGAATAAATTGGAGTGAAATTTACAATTGAAAATGTGAAGACTTTCTATAAAGAATCATATTATATCCTTCCATTTATTCCAATCTTTTATTAGGTTCTTCAGCAATGTTTACTCTTCACCTCCTCACACAGGACCTTATTTCTTTTCTTTTTTTTTTTCCACTTTTAAAAATTTTGTACTTTTGGTTGCTACTGTAAAAGTGATCTTTTTCCCATTAAATTGTATTACTGATTATTGCCTGTTATAGAAGGCTACTGGGTTTTTTTTGTTTTTTGTTTTGAGACAGAGTCTCACTTTGTTGCCCAAGCTAGAGTGAGTGCCGTGGCATCAGCCTAGCTCACAGCAACCTCAAACTCCTGGGCTCAAGCAATCCTGCTGCCTCAGCCTCCCGAGTAGCTGGGACTACAGGCATGCGCCACCATGCCCGGCTAATTTTTTCTATATATATTAGTTGGCCAATTAATTTCTTTCATTTTTAGTAGAGATGGGGTCTCATTCAGGGTGGTTTTGAACTCCTGACCTCCAGCAATCCGTCCACCTCAGCCTCCCAGAGTGCTAGGATTACAGGCGTGAGCCACCGCTCCCGGCCCTAGCCCTAACTACTGTTATTTATATATATTTTTGTCACTGATTACCTAATTGAATACTAGGTAGAATTTTCTTTTGGGGGGCTTTTACCTGTGACATCAGGAAGCCTATGGTGGCTACATAGCATCTCCAACTTTCAATTCATGGAACTGTAATTGGTTCAGCTGATGGAGGTATTCTTCACTTGAGCACTAAAACCTCTGACAATTCTCAGTTCAGGGATTGGCTCTGCCAGGGCATCCTGGTGTACTTGCATGTATAAGGGGGGAAAAGATAATATTTCCTCTACCTGTCTAACTTTTTATCTGGGACCTCCATAACAAAAGACGGAATAACAAGAGAAAAACAAACAGGAGTTTAATTATATATATATATATATATACACACACACACACACACATAAACACATAGACATACCAGGGGAAATGAGTAACTCTCCAAGAGGGGACTCAGAATTCAAACTTAAAAACCATTTCCAGCTAAAAACAAAGAAAGTGTAGGAATGGCAAGTTAAGAGGGTGACCAGGAAAAGTATGGTAAACTAGAGTAAGGTGTGTTATGCAGATTTAAGGTGTCTTCTTCATTGATTGGGGTCTCTTCTGATTTATACTCATCCTTCTCTTCCTGGGACAAAGTGGAGTTTTCCTTTACATATATAAATTTCCCTTACAAAGGGGTACCTTCTACCCTATTTTTAGAGTTTCCCTGTGTCTGCTGTTTCTCAAAATCATCCTTTTGCCAAAGGGGCATATTTTGGGGTGGCATAGTCTGGCCTCCCACACGTGTCTCCACAATGACCACACGGGCAAAGCTTAACTGCAGCTGATGTGATCTAAGACTTGGCAAAACACCCTGTGGTCCTTCCAGGACATGAGTGCATGGAAGGCTTGAGGGGAGCTGCTTCAAATCTTCCCCCACTTGCCTGCTCATCTTCTGGAGGCTACTGTTGTAGACCCACAAACTCAGGCTTGCGTACCCACTGTGCAGCTCAAGCCAAATACTCTGACACCAGTGCTTACAGATAGAGAAAGGTTTATTTGGTTTGGCCAAATCAAGAAGACAGGAGAGCAAAGTCTCTCAGGTCCCTCTTCCCAAGGAGATGAACTGGGGAGGTTTTATCCAGTTATTACAGCTGGTGGGTCAAATATGATTACCAGAACAGAACAACACACCTATTGGCACTTGATATGCAGCTATTGATATGGCAAAAACATGCCTTTTAATCCCCCTCTCAGTAAGGAGTTTTCTTTTATATGGGAAAGTGAAGAATACACATTCGTAGCCCCAGGGCTATGTTGATTGTTAGGCTTTCTGCTACAATATAGTCCTCAAGGATCTTCTTCTAAGGGACTTTTCACAGAACATCGTAGTTTTCTACTGCAGGGACCCGATGAGCAGGTAAGGACAAGTGGCTTCCCCTTGATCCATGGGGATCTATGGCAACAGCGAATACACCATAGTGTTCCTGGAAGTGAGAGAGGTCGGCAGCATAAGGGGTGTTCCCTGACTGGCATAACTAGAAAACTTCAGGAGCTGGACAACTTGGTGAAGCCTTCGTGTTCCAGTAGGTTGGGACACGATGGAACATACCCTCTAAGGCACAGAACAAGATGCACGCCCCACCACAAAGAGGCTGCAGCAAAAAATAGTATAAACCTTCACTATGCCACCATTACTCAAGAAGACTAGCAAGCTTCTTACTGATTACATCAGAACCCTTCCACTCTGGAAGGCCAGCGATTTATCCTTGCAGGCAAAGACACACACCCCAAATGGAGGTTTGCTTCTCCCGCCCACAGCACCGCTGGGACCAACACCATCTGAAAGCTTACAGACTGCCTGCTTTAGTTATTGCTGCATGGCAAACCACCCCAAAACATAGTGGTTTCAATAAACAATGGTTTACTATTTCTTATGATTCTGTAACGTCAGCAATTGTTGGGTTCAATAGTCTTCTCCCATCCAAGTACTAACCAGGCCAGGTCCTGCTTAGCTTCCAAGATCAGGCACATTCAGGGTGGTATGGCTATAGATAGGGGTTGGTAGTCTTCTGTTCCATTTGGTCCATTTTTTTTAACTTACTACAATCCACTTTTAAGAAATATTATATCAGTTCATATATAGCCTAAGAACCCTCTGAGTACTTGCTGCCATGGCCTAAGTGGCCTCCCACCAGGCTATACCAGAGTTCCCCCTCCTTGGAAACCAGCAGTATTCAGGAGGAATTAAGGACTCACCTTGTTTGTTTCCACTCTACCACGGATCACCATCTTCATGGCTTGATGTCCAATGTTTTGAAAACTGTTGTTGAGTATATTTTGCAGGGTTAGTTCTTTCAGGCAGAAGGGTAAATCTGTATCCCTCTTGGTCTTCAGTCAACAACTTTTTTTGAGACAGTGTCTCACTAGGGGCTAGGGTGCAGTGGTGTCATTACAGCTTACAGCAGCCTCAAATCCCTGGGCTCAAGCAATCCTCCTGCCTCAGCCTCCCCAGTTGCCAGGACTACAGGCACTTGCCACCGTGCCCAACTAAGTTTTTCTATTTTTGTAGAGACAGGGTCTCCCTCTTGCTCAGGCTGATCTCAAACTGCTGGCCTCAGTGATCCACCCGCATCACCCTCCCAAAGTGCTAGGACCACAGGCATGAGCCACTGCACCTGGCCTCAATCAACGAATTTTTAAGGCACTCAGCTTCTCTACTAATAAAAGGAACTTTTTATAGATAAATTGTGAAAATGTCTAAGTGTTTAAAATGTCTAGTATATAGTAAGTTAAAAAAGTAATGAAACAGTAAAATATGTAAAATGTATTTTAGATATATGAACATATAAAGCACAACTACAAATTTTTAAAATATTTTATGAATTTATAAAGCATATAAAAATATGTTTATAATTTTTATATGCATACTAAAAAGTATTAAAGAATGTAACCAATGTTTACAAGGAAGGTATATTTTCTAATATCTAATCTTTCCTAATAGAAAAAAATTACTCAAGATATAAGTATTTTGAAACAATGTAGGTGCTCTGACTCCAACCAAAGCAAAGCACAGGCAGCCCCAGGGATGGGACTATGGCCAGATGGTACATTGTTTCTCTGAGAAGAATTGACCATGTCCAGAAGGAGAGGAAGTTATCTGTGAAGACTGCTGTCTGTCACACCTTTGAAACCAACCAACTAGTATTCTATTCTACAGGAGTCTTCTTTGGATCAAGCTATGGTAGAAAATATTTCAAAAAGGCAAAACAACACAGGAGTAGCAATTTCCAAAGTAGTGAGATCAGCACTAAGAGCACGTCTGTAGATTCCACCCTTGGGGGCTTTCACCATCCAGCGCTGTGGCCAGCCTCAATACAGATTCCACCAAAAGCTCGGGACAAAGCAACAAGAATTCAGATGCCAGTGAAGAATTTTGAAGACAATCTGTTGGTGCCTTTGGGAAACTGGAACTCTCTGAGGGAAAAAATCTTGAAGGGCCATGAGACCTGATGAATTATATAGATGTTGCCCAACAAGATGGAAAGGTACCTTCTGTGCCTCTGGAGGAAGAATTTATTATGGGAGTTTCCCAGTTTGGTGTAAGGTATCAACATCACATCAGTGGATATTTTGCACAGGCATGCTCTCCCCTAATCATCCAGATGGTCTTTTATGATGATGGTGGGGGTGGGGTGAGGGACAGGAAAAAGCTTATTGGCTCTGAAGTCCACAGATGCAAGCAATGAAGAATGCAGCCTATGGGGTCAGCAGTGCAACCGCCTAGAACAAGCCAAGAAATCTGCAAAGTTTTACACACTGCTTTTGACTCTGTATTAACATCTGACAAATCTTGAATTCTGCAATCAAGTGGAAGTCAACTGCATCTGAAAGCTCTACTGTTTTCTAAATAGTCCTCTTTTCTATCTGTGATGTTGAACTGTCATGGAAATAAGAAGTGATATATTGCTCTAGAATTTCTGAGGAAAATGCAATGTGTAAAACATTGATCATTTGTTTTTATATTAAAATGTGATATTAAACAACAGGGAAGGGAGAGAAAATATAAATTTCCTCTTCAAAAGGCACAACATACAAAGTATACAAAGAGTATACTTTCCACCCAAAATCCATGTTTTCCTTTTCTTCCTGAGCACAAAGCTAGGCGGTTGCATGGATAGACAACTCTGCTGTGACCCTCAGGTGCTTTGTCTTCCCACTTTCCATTTCCTACATCTCATTGTCATTCTGCTTCTTACCCTTCCTACTTGTTTCTATTTATCTCGTCTGACTCTTAATTCTGTTTCTCGCCCAGGATCATCTTAGAAGATGAGCATTGAAGATGGTAGAGCCTCCAGCATCCTAGATGTCTGAACGACTGTGTGGGGTACAACACCCCATCCTCTCTTCCGACACCCC